TTCAACCTAGAAAACCTCACTGATCTAATTCATGCAATTTCCAAGACCCGCTGGACCGTACTTTACTCACACCTACTCCTGATCTTCAAGAATTGTCTATCTTCTCGAATCACCAAGAACACTTTGTTCTTGCACTCTTCCTGTATTTCTGGTCCAACTTCCCTAAATTTTTAGCAACCTCTAGAAGCTATTAAGAAAGTAACTTCTAGATTATGTTTAGGAAGTGGGTGTTTTGGATTATGTGATTTTGATATTTTTCCCAACTTGTGCTTGATTGATCTCAAAATGTAGAATTGTTGTTTTATCTCCCAAAGAACGTTATGAAGGTAGAATATAATAATCAATGCCCCTTTTCATGAAGTGGGCTTGTTTATTTATAGTAGAAAGGTGTTGGGTGATATGAGCCAGATAGAACTCTTTAAAAATGTGAATTAGGGTTTCTTGGAAAATAGCGTCGCTCGAGCGACAGGCAAGCGACAGGCGGGTGACAATGATTTTGTTTTGGACTCTCAAGCATTAACTTAGCGATAGGCTAGTGTAATTCCGATAACTCTTTCTCCATGTTCCATACTCGGACATTAAGACTCCTAACCCATTTATACAGTCTACCAGCAAACTCTTAGACATTTACAACTCTTTTAATAGTAATTCTTTTGTCTAAAGAATAGCCAATACAATTAAAACCTAACACAGTACAACGAATGATACAAGAAGAATAAGAAACAAGTTTTTTCACTAATCTACTCTAGAACACACAATTTCGAGAGATGGTGATGTTCATTGACTACTTCTAGTGGTTTCTTTTAAATATTAGTTCTCTACGTCTCATGATCGACCTAAATCAATTATGTCAAGTGATTTGGCAGGGGAACGTAATTTTTGGGTTCATTATTCTCTTGGGATTGGTACTAATACTTTGGCAGAAGTATCAGCTCTTAAGATAGGCCTTCAAATATGCTATGGCCTTGGTATAGAGAGGATTGCTATAGAAACAGATTATAGTATGGTGGTTCATTTGTTTCATCATCGTGTTACCATACCTTGGGCTATCCAGCTAATTTGGGAGGATATTTTAGAGCTTGCTTAGATTATATCTACTGATATATCACATATTTATCGAAAAAGTAAATCAAGCAGCGGATTCTTAAGCACGTCTTAGAACTCAAGGTCATTCAAATTTCTTAAAATCAATCTCTAGTTTCCCTGTTTCTACAATTGGTTGCATTTGTTTAGATAAATATAGTTTTCCTTCTTTTCACTCTTCGCGATTGCTTGTAACCACGATTTTCCTCCACCAAAAGTGTGGGTTTACCAATAAAAGTAAAAAATAATAAATAATAAATAAAAAAGTTAAGGACTTGGTGGAGTCAAAATTCCACGATCTATCAAGATATGCTTAATAATGTGTTTAAAGTTGAATCCACTCCTTTGGGGGGAGAGTTGAGATGTTCTTGAAGAAGTTGATGTTGACCTCTCCAAAAAAAGGGGGTGGGGTGGGAAAGAAAGGTGCAAATCATTGAGATCTCTACTCAATAAGATAAAGAGGGCGTGGGAAAGAAAGGCACAAACCATTGAGATCTCTACTCAAGAAGATAATGAAAAATAATTTAAATCATTGGCTTCTCCAATATCTGTTGAAAAGGCTAAAAATTTGTTATTTCACCAAGAGCTTATTCACGGTTGAAGTTGAGATTAGTCGATTCACTTTTAAACTCGACAATACTCATAACGAACTTGAAGACTCTACGTGTAATGCCCACTAACTCAGAGATACAAGGAGCACGGTGAACAAAGGTAGCCGTGAGAGAGTGCAAGATGAGCGATCGCACGAGGCCTCAATATTAAAGGGGAACAAAAAATAAAAGTTTTGTTATAGGTTTATATATATGTCTAACATATTTATTAATTTTAAAATTTTAAAGTTTTACTATTATGTTAAGTTAAAGTGCATAATATTTATGAAAAAGAAAAGTGAAAAAAAAATTAATATTACATTAATATTTTTTAATTTAATATGCTATTTAAAAAGTATATTTATTTTTTCTAATTTTAATCTATCTTGCTTTAGGAAAAAAATTATCTTAAATTATCTATTTTATGAATACTATCTATTTTTCATTATTGAGATATTTGTTTGTTCTTTTAATGTTGAATTTTAAGTTAGCAATATGTTGCATAACACACCGTTGAATTTTGCATTTACTTTAATTTTGGGGGCCTAATTTTTGAACTTCGCCTCGGGCCCGACAATCACAGGACCGGCCCTGGTCCTTCGAACTGAGGAAGATTCTCAAATCTAACTTTATGAATCTGATTTACACTTGTTTGATTCGATATGGTGCAAATTGACTTGCGGGAAAATTTCATAAGAGATTAATTATGATACATTTCAAAAACAAGAAAACAAATTTCAAATTTCAAAAATCAGATTTTTATTAAAAATTATTTATCATTTAGTTAATTAATTAATTATTTTAGCAATTAAAAATATTTAAGTCACAAATTTATATAATTTGGTCACAAATTAACGATTTAATTCGTCACTTATTATTTTTTGGTCACAAATCAAAAATTTGATGTCACAAATTACTTTGCGATCACAATTCAAAAAATTTATAAATCACAATTTGTTCATCGGTCACAAATCGAAAAATTTATAAGTCACGATTTATTTATTGGTCACAAATCACAAATATTACAAGTCACAACTTCTTATATAGTCACAAATTATCAAATTATCGGTCATGGATTAACAATTTTTCAAATCACAATTTATTTTTTTCATTGGTCACTTATTATTGGTCATAGATTAACCAATTTAATGGTCACAGTCAACCAAATAATTTGTGACCACTACCAAAAAAATAATGCATAACCTAAAAAATATTATTGGTCACAATGCATTTACTCGTTGTAAATTATTGGATTAATTAGTTACGATAAATTTTTCGATAATTTAATCAATCGTGAGTCACAATTGGGAGTCACAATCACAATTTTCATGTTACGTATCCAATTATGAGTCACAATTCTCATCGCCATCACCATCACTATTGCCGCCACCCAGCACACACCAACACAAACACCACAATTGGGAGTCACAGTCCACACAACCACCAGATCCGTTGAGTGCCGCCACCATAGCACCTCAAACAACCCACTGCAACACTTCAAACAGACCACCGTCACCCTTTGAATATTGCCAATGAACTCCCATCGCCAGATCAGCCACCCACCGCAACACCGCAACCACACAAACACCGTCGTTGCCACCACACAAAATCCACGATCGCCACAGATCAGGGGTTTTGTAGCATACCACTACTGCACGAAATCTACAATGCTGCAACAATCGTAGCACACCACCACACAAAATCCACAACGCTGTAACAAAAGGGGAATCACCGTCGCGCACACACCACCACAACCTCACGCCACCTCCGTTGAATACACACGCCCAGACCCACGTACACACACACACACACACACCCACGCACATACACACAGTCACAGATCGCCAAACACCATAAACGCCAACACCGTAACCTCACGCCACCGTCGCCGCTCACACATCAACACACCCACGCACATACACACGATCATAGATCGCCACACACCATCAACACCAACCACCACCAGTCCATTATAAGCTCCTCCAACAACCACTTCGCCACCATCAACACCAACACGCAAACAAGAAGAGAAAAGGGGATGAAAGTGAGAGGTTCGCAGCGGCGCTGCATCTTCCGGTGGATGGATGGCATCCCTGCAGCATCCAATAATGGATCGAGGGTGGTGATTGCCCGGCGATTCCCAAGACAGTGGCGACGACAGGGGAGGCGACTGGGTTGAAGGAGAATTGTAGAGAGAGAGAGGAGTGTGGGAATTAAATTTTGATTAGGGTTTGTGTTTATATATATTTTATTAATTTAATTAATTTTTAATTATATTAATTAATTAAAAATTTTCTAGAAATACTTAACATGGTATCTTATTTATGAAATGTGGATTTTTAATCTATTAGAATCTGTAATTTCCACTTGACTTGCACCTATCTCCTTTCCTTTTTTTCGTTTTTGTTGAACATTAGTGTGAACTTCTTTTTTCGTTATGATGGATGTGTATCATGGACTTCCCTTATTTCTAGCTTGTTCCTTGTTTTGCAGTGAATTTATGGATTTGAATACTTCTCACGCTGAATTCTAATTTGTAAATTCAACTTTTGCGACAATATGTGTGTTATTTTTTCTTGATAAGCTTTTCGTAGTAAAACTGTCGCCGATACCACAATTTACCACAGAATTAGCAGAAAAAATATGTGGAGTTTGCCTTTTGAATTTCAATGGTTGGTGACAAATTTTTTTTGAAAAAATTTAATATATTTAGATAAAATTTGATAAAATATATACTTTAAAAATTGAAGGATGATAATTCATTGACCAGGTGAGCACCAATGTCTCCTAGTCAATGACATTCGTTAAAACTCTGAATCTACCCTAATTGAATGCAATGCGAAGAACCCTTCAACTAGTGCTTCACCAAGGCCTAGGCTCGATATTACGAAAACTAGATATCATAGGATTAAATTAAAACTACACTTGCGACAATAGCAATTAAATCCTTAACCATTACAAAGACCTATTTATTTTAACGAAGCTTTTCCTATATATTCCCAGTTCAGAAATACTCATTTTCAACCACATTCATTTTTTAACTAAATATTTTTCAAAATTTTATTATTCAGAAACTCTTTCTTTCCAAAAAAGGGCTAAGGGCATAATTTCATCTTCAAAAAGTAAGTTCGAGATGGTGGGAAACTTTTGTACTCATATGACATGTAGAATACACTAGAATTTTGTACAAGTGTGCAAATGAACACTTGGCACCAATGAGAACCATTCATCCTCCATCATAGTCCAATCATGCCAACATCCAACAAAATCAAAACTCCCTATTCGTGTTGTCACGTCAACTTTCCACTCACGAGCAAGCAAAAGAAACAGAAACTAGAAACTGTATAATTTGTATTCGTGTGTGAGGAAAAAATAAGAGAGAAAGAGTGTGTACAAATATATCAATGGCCTCAACAGCGTGCTTCTTGCTCAACCATGCAGGTGCAGCATTCTCTACTTACAGATCCTCGTCTAGCAGCTACCTGCCATCACTCAAGCCTACACGGCTGATTTGCCGTGCGCAGGATCAGGCAGCACTTCATCAAGAAGATGGTGCAGCCACCATTTCTCGAAGACTGGCTCTCACTGTTTTAATTGGGGCTGCTGCCATTGGATCCAAGGTTTCACCTGCTGATGCCGCCTATGGAGAATCTGGTAAGGCCTAAATCATAAATTCTGAGAAGTACGCGCATTGGGATCTACGTTTTCATTCAACTGTTCTTGAGATTTCAACTAGTGATAACAGATTTATTGTATGTCGAATCAAGAAATGTTAGAGGTGAAGACAACGAAAGCAAAAGGAATCAGAAAGAAAGAAAGAAAAGGACACACAAATTTATAATGGTTCATCTTCAACATGAGAACTACCTACATCGCCTGAGGTTTTCCATGGAAGACAGAGAATTTAAAGTTTTCTTATGCCACTCTAAACGTTTTAAGTAGCATCAGGCGATGCTACGTTGGAGGCCAAACTTTGAACTAGGCGAGGCCCAAGCATAAACAAGCTTTTTTTCATTTTAATATAGTTTTGTATTTTTAATCAATCTAAAAATATTTAATAATTAAAATAATAGTTATCAAACATCTAAAATTATAATATACTCTATTTAAAAAAGGGAAGAGAAAAGCAAGCCTAGGTGCCGAAAATCGCGTACCTAGACCTGAAGCGAAGAATTTTGCCCATGTGTCGTGTCTAGACACAATTTTTAAAACACTGCGCCAAAGCAGAGGAGCGTTGTCACCTAAATTTTTTTGAATAGAGTAGGAATATTAAGATGTCATAATAGTCCATCAATTAATGTGTGAAAACTTAAATGCAGCCAACATATTTGGGAAGCCAAAGACAAACACAGATTTCTTGCCATACAATGGGGATGGATTCAAGTTGTCAGTTCCCTCAAAGTGGAACCAAAGCAGAGAAGTGGAATACCCTGGTCAACTTCTTAGATATGAGGACAACTTCGATCCCAACAGCAATGTCGTTGTTATGGTCAACCCGACTAAAAAGAAATCCGTCACTGACTATGGTTCCCCTCAGGACTTCCTCTCTCAAGTAATCAATCATCTTCATTATTATTTTCACCGACGACCATGTCTAGTATATAAGTCCATAGACTCGTCCAGCCTACCAAACTTGCTTCATCCATATCCTTGTAACAAACTTTTACCTGACTTTTCTACGTGCAGGTGGACTATCTGCTGGGAAAACAAGTCTACTTTGGCAAAACTGATGCAGAGGTAAACAAATCACTTATAGCACAGTTTTAAGCATCTCAATCAGAATTGAATAACAAAACAGGTTGGAAATATATGAGCAGGGTGGATTCGATTCAGATGCAGTGGCAACTGCAAACATATTGGAGAGTTCAACACCGGTGATCGGTGGGAAACCGTACTATTTCATATCAGTATTGACGAGAACGGCTGATGGAGATGAAGGCGGTAAACACCATCTGATAATGGCCACGGTTTCAGGTGGCAAACTATACATTTGCAAGGCTCAAGCAGGAGACAAGAGATGGTTTAAAGGTGCGAAAAAATTTGTTGAGAAAACTGCAAGTTCTTTCAATGTTGCTTAAGATGGGGATATGGTTAGTATACATAAACAGGGTGTTTGTTTGTGTTGTAAAAGCAGTCAATGAGCTATAGTGATGGAGGTTTTTGCATAAAATCCCCTTATCATGGCTTCAAGAATGTTGAACTTTTACATCAATTGTCGAATTTGAATCGAACTTGATTCTGTAAAAGAACACACGTGTGGTCTTGCTCGGTTTTCACAATAAAGGGGTCGGTGGATGAATGGACATGCTCCGATACCTAAATAGATTTAAGAGGTCAATAGCAAGAAATGAAATACAAAGTTTTGACTTAGTTTCTAGCATTTTACGAGATATCACTTGTTGAGAGGAAGAGAACTTCTGCACCTAAGATTGGTCCTAGAATTCCAAGTAATGACATCGCTATTGAAGCTTTCAAGAATGGTCGAGAACAAAATCCCTTCTCGATCTACTTAGCCAGGCAAGTTGAGCAAGGAATTCAACCCAACAAAATGGTTCTCCGGAGGTTACATCGACACTAAATTTCTTCGTCATACGTTGATCAACCAGAATCTTCCACAGTATTATTGAGTAAATAACCCGTTCCCCATATATCTCTAAACATTTGACAAGTTATTTGCTATGAATGCATTTACATGGCACAAAGTACGCCACAACAAATCGCGTTAACGTTCTAACTACGCAAGAGGGAATCAGGCAAGTGCTTCTCAACTCATCAAGGAGAAAATCAAAGGCTTCAACTGACATGATACAGATTTTAAGAAAAGATGAAAGAAACTGTTGAAAAACAATAATAACATGTGGAATCATTAGAAATGCGTACAGAGAACAAAACTATCACAGGTGTTTTAACTCGAGATGCCAGCTTGGTAATGAAGCAATTGGCTATATCAGGCAAGAAACAAGTTTCTAAATCTACTGCCCAATCATGTAACGTGTCAATAATTGAGCATAAGTCTAATCACGCGAAGAGTCAATAATTGAACAATCAACACAATGAAACCCTACTTGATCAGCTTCATGAAAAAAATAAATAAATAAATAAATAAAAAAGAAGCAGCAAAGACTGACATTTAAAAGAAATTATGCATTTATTGTCACAGAGAATGTAATATCACCTTCTAGTTTGTAGTAAATGCCAGCTCAGGACAGGTATAGAAGAATTTACATAACTCGACAGTAAGGAAATACATTTTTTTAAGAATTGACGACTTCAAGTAGCCCCTTTGCAGTAACAGACACCATTACTATGCTCCCCATTTTGAGTCATATTTACCTGATTTAAGCCCCATAAGCGAATAGTCCGATCATCACTTGCAGAAGCCAGCATATGAGGATTAGCTGGATTCCAGCTAACACAATTGACAGCCGCAGAATGTCCAGGCAAAGTTAAAATTAGCTCTCCTGAGACCCTGTGCCAGATATAAACCTACATATCATGTCAAATAATTAGTAACACTCCCAATAAAGACGGCTGCAATTCACAATTAATATATCAATTGTTAACTGAAGACAATAACCGAGTTTGCATTACTGAAACAGAAATTAAACGCCCCAGAAAGAGATAAAGAAGCCATAATTAATAGTAGTCTACTTCAGTTGATTTGTAGTTCTGTAAGAGTAACGTTTAAGTACGAGCTATTACTTATTTAGAAAGAAACTCTTACCCTAATTAAATCAATAACTTATTTCCAACTTTCACCATTAAAAATTGTTTATTTTAAAACTTACTTTTTTTTACTTATAAAGCTCAGCCAAGTATGTTCCAGGTAGGCTGGTGTATCTGCAATGGCATAAGTTCAAATCTATTGTAAAATTGAAAATCAATGGCACTCAAGAGTGGTCGACTGACAAAATCTAGGCATGGTGGCCTAGATGTAATTAGCACTTTGTATGAAGTGCAGTAACATTCAAATATAATACATGCTTGTCCAGATAAAAGGCCCATAAACAACACTGACAACAGCAGTTACCACCAATTGACTCGGAGGATGTGAGTAGCACAAAGAGTCTTAGTTTGTATTCAAAAAGCTTACTCCAAACAAATAATATTGTTCTGAGCAGTGAGCAATTATCATCAATTCTATTTTGAAAGAGCAGTTCATACAAGCAATATAAATACAAAAAGTATGTGGCTAAACAAAATAAATGTTCATGATCAACAGAAGAGGCATTACCTGCGAGTCCTCACTTCCACTGGCAATAAATGCTTGCTCGAGGCCACCAAAACAAGACCTCACAACTAAACGAGAATGCTTGTGACCTTTGTATTTGGCTACTAGCATTACAGTCCCATCTATATTCCACAGATGGAGTTCTTGGTTCGATAGGCTAACAAGCAAAAACTTGCTGTCATTGGATAAAGCAAATGAAATTATAGTGTGATCCTCCTCAATGAATTTCTCAGAATTTGATTCCCATTCAAACAATGATATAATATTTTCTTTACAAACAGTAATGAGCTGTTTCCCATCACTAGATATTCCCAAGTCTGAGATCCTAATAGTTTTTTGCCCTTTCCAACATTTTACATCTTTCCCTTCCAGATCCCACATGCAGACGCTTTTGTCAGTAACACCACAAAATATCCTTCGCCCATCCGGTGCCCATGCACAAGAGGTCAAACCGAGGCCACTTTTTTCATATACATTGAGGCATTCTCCTGATGCAGTGTCCCAACATCTAACAGCCTCTTCTACTCCACAAGTAAGAAGTTGATGATCATCAGGGCTCCATGAAATATACGAGACAGGTTTCTGGTGACCAGATAATCTATGCTTCAAGGATATTCGACCATCCAGTTTAACCTAACAAAAGCAACAGAATTATGCTAAAAAATCAACAGTCAATCAAAATGATGTCTAAACAGGAAAAGCCTTCAAGTAATACACTCAAAACTCTTGTGTAACAAAGCAAAAAATGTTTTAACACTTTTAGGTTCATCGCCATATTGAAAAGGTGAGTGCTACACTTTGATAGCATAATCTTAATTTGTAAAACCAGAGAAGGAATCAGAAGTAATTAAGGAATACGAATAGAATAAATTAAAAGAAGTTCCCAATCAATGGAAATAAAATATTTAGTAAGCAATAAACAACATAAGCAAACTAAAACCAGTAACAAAAGTACATGAAGTCATGACTGAGGTTGATCAAAAAACTACAACTTAGGTTGAGTAGTTAAACTATCAGCAACATTAAATTTAAACAGATGGCAGTGAACAAATCAGCATTGCATAAAAATCAGGCTTTTCAAGCCATTCCCATTGGATAGAAGAGGTTTGGAAGCGAAGGGTACCATCTAGTAGCTTCCAATGGATTTTGGAATTTCAGTCCACGTACATTTAAATTGTCATCAAAATATAGCCCATATTTGAGCCCCATTTTTTGGGGGAAATATATTGTAAAATAGTGATTTTTTGGAGAATTTGTGATTAAATAATTGGAAAAGTTCTGGGTTTACGTGTAAAATTATTTTATGGGAGAATATGTGATTGAAAATGAGTTTTATAAAAATGAGCTTTGGAGAAAATGAGGCTCAAACAGGGGCATAATCTACATTCTTTCAATTCTATATTTCACATTCCAAGGAATACTCCAATGGAGCAAATAGTCAACAATGATTTTTGTCAAATTTCAAATATTTGAGAAACAAAAGACTGTTGAAATTGTCTACATATATTTTCAAATATCGGCTAGAATTTAATGTTTATACATAGGTGAAAGATGTACTGGTTTTGAGGTAGATCTAGTCGTCATGAGTTCTACAATTAGCCAAAAATGCTACAAAAGAACTTCGAAATGTTTCTTGAAGTGATGAACAACTTTGCAGGCATGCTCAAGTCTTTGTGCTGAAACAAATATTAACATTTAATTGATTCAATTGAACATACCATAACAAGTTCTCTTTGCAAGATTATAATCAAAAACCTGATGATTTGAAGGGAAAATATTTAATTATGCTTTTTCTAAAAACGTGTATTTACTATTTATGATATCACGATACATGCATACATCACCAGAACAAGGAGACCTATTGAAATGTTAGAAAAACAAGTTTAAAAACAAAATCAGGAATACATCATGTTTTTCAACCAACAACACCTAAAGATAAAATGAAAATCCTTGAACTCCTTGAAGATAAAAGCCCATAAAGAAGCCAAAAACTTTGCTCCTTCCAATATTTTGCAGCAGTTGTTTCTTTTATTAAAAAATTATAAAAGTTCCTTTCTATCTAAAATGCCAAAAAAAGTATTGAAAACCACAACTTCCCACATAGCACCCAACTTTCCCACAACAAATAGAATTTTCATTATATATCTGGAGTGCCTTTCAGGGAAAAAGAACATTCTAAATCAGCTTCTTTTACCAAGCAGTGCCACAAGTATATTATCAAGACTTTCTGCTGTCCTCAGATAGAGATAAATGAATTTGCTTTGAGTTTGAGCTAAATCGCAAGTACTAATCCTCCTATGAGAAACGAGATCCAGCAAAGGATGCAAGATGTTCAAACGAATAAATGGTTCAGATAATGGTAAGCTCGACAAGTCAACCTTGTCAGGTCTTCCATTTGGTTCTTCCAAGTGTCTAAGACCCAGAATCCACTATTGCTGAATAGAATCAATTTCTAATCTCAGCACTTCTCTCACCAGTGTAGCAACCTCGTAAAAACCTGGAAACAACCTCTAACCATAAACCTAAAAGCTAAAATCGACCAAACTTCTGTCTGGCTGTATAGACCAACCCTTTTATAATGAAACTCCTAACAATAAAATCTGCTACATCAATGGAATCGCAAAGCCCTTCCTCCTCTAGATCTTTGTGGAAAAGCTAAACGCAAAATTGATATGGGTGTTTTCCACTGGGGCCTAGGGTGATAAAGGATTTGTTTCCTCCGGAGGTATTAATCTTTTAGGTCCTTTTGACCCACATTCTTTCAAAAAAATTCATTTTTAAATAGTGATTTGACATCACTTTAACCACACATTATTCAATAAAATGATATTACACACAAATCCAAAACTTTTCTTTATTTTTTAACCACGCATTTTCCATCAATACATTATTCAAAAATGCATTATCATGAAAATAATATGGCTCAAATAAAGGCTTAATTTTATTTGTTTGGATTTCAAGTACAAATTGATGGTGGTTTTTGGTTTAAGCTAATCAGAGAATTTTTTCATGAGCAGCCAATATAGTCATTTGGATAGGGATTTTCAAATCGAACAGAATTTTTTTAA